CATCATCATCATCATCATCATCATCATCATCATCATCATCATCATCATCATCACGTGTACAATCGTTGATACTGTTATCGTCGCTGGCTGTTTATATAATATCATTATGATGCTATCATTAACATTCTGATTACTATCCAGAACCTTACCGTTCAGATGAAGAATTTCGGACTGTCTTTGTACAGAAAGTGAATCGTAGCTATAAAAAGTAACAATGTAGAGCCTGCCATTTACAAAACCAACCTTATTATAACTTTGTGTGGATAACAGCAATAGGCATCCCGCGCCCCACGTTATGCTCTTCAAATGGCGTCCTCTTGATAGGATAGGGCAAGGCGGAAACTAAACAACTAGCAATAGAACGGCTTCAATGCCCCTATCAATACTGTAAGGTTTTGTTTTAGTTTTTCCAGAGTTTTTACGGTGTTCGCAACTGCTTAAGGTCGTATGAGCGCCAAAGGGTGTTAGTCTTAGTAAGCTTTTACGACGCCAAGGGGTGGATATCAACAGATAAGTCCTAACGGGGAATTAGGCTTACTCTGCTCACCTCTCTAGCCTCAACAGCACAAAGTCTGCTTCGACTATCAAGGCACCCCGGAAAAAGCGGGTCACAAGAGAGTGACAAACATACAAAAGAAGTAGTGGAAAAATGACGATAGTAAGGATGGGGAAAGAAAAAGCAGCAGTTCCCTGTTGTAGTTCAGGCACAGTTATGAGCATGACATTGATAAATCAGCCCATTTACAATTCTACTGAGCATAAGAACATGTTAATGTCCCCCCTTTGGGAACGGCCAAAAGACACTTCAGTCAGTAGCACCGCCCGGGGGTATTGATCTTTATATTAACATCAATCTTTTAATGATATTTCTGGGGTTTTTTTTGCCACGTTTGGAAATAAAACCCCTACTTCTTTCGGTCTTCCTTTTTATCTTTTACCTATTCTTGGTCTCTATTCAGTCTTTCTGCCGATGTGATCAGTCCATTTTCATTTTTTGTCGTAGTATACGGTCGCTTTTAAGCACAAGGGTGCTATCCCAAAAAATGCTGTTTTGAGAAAATCTAAGGTAAAGCTTTTGGATCCTTGTTCAGTTTCTTTAAAAGACAAGCAGAGTTTTCTCTATAACCAAAGAAATATATACACCAAGGAAACGAAACTTCTCCTATAGGTAGGGAAATGTCCACTTTTGGTGCAGGTCAAGATTTCTGGAAACCCCAAAATCTGGGTAAGCCTGCTTATCCTTAAAAGTGACCAGATTTTGGGAGATGTCACTTTTGTGTTCCTCCTATTTTCGTGTGTTGCTTAAAGCCCCTCCCTCCTCCCCCATAGGGGAAATCTGTCACTCCTGTGTTCTCCTCTATGTCTGTGTATTTCTAAAAGCCCCTCCCTCCCTCCCTCCCTCCCCCAGGCACCCGCCGTATGACCACCCTCAGCACGTGCCCGCGCGGCTCCACCGAGAAGAAAGCTCACCCCCGCCAGTGTGCCCAGTACTACCACTGTGGTCAGCCGGCTCAGGAGCGCGTGTGGGAAGAACATCTGCGTGAGTGCCCCTACCCCATGCTCTTCAACCTGGACACTCGCAGGTGTGAACACCACAGCATGGTGGACTGTGGCACGAGGGAGGAGCCCGTAGATCCTTGTGAGTAGATTATAATGTCCCCACTCCCCCGAACCCTCCAACTGAGGCCCCTGCCCGCTCCTGCCCAGCCCCTGCAAACACCCCCCCCCCCCCCCCGGCCTCCTTTTGACTAGACTTAGACTTAAGCCCCCGTTACACGCAACGATAAATTGTACAAAACAGGACGATCTATCGATCATGAGACAAATCGTCAGGTGTAACGACAAAATTGTACAAAGTTTGGACGATTGGACGATGGCTTGGAGACTCGGTCGAGAAATCTAGCGCTTCATGATATTTTCCGAGCGATCACGGTCAGATTTGAGGGAGGCCCGCTGTGACGTAGAATCACTTCAAAATTTGACACCGTGCAGGATCAAACTTAGGGCTCAAAATTACAAAAAAAATTTCGCAGGTTAAAAACTGATTTCATATTCTGAATCTGCGCCTCAAAATAAGCAAAGTTGCTAGCGTGGAACCTGATTTGATTCTTTATTATATATATTTTAGCAATTTTATTATTTAGTTGATCGTCAATGGTGAAGTTGTGTATCAAGATCACCCCGTGCGTTGCACATCTGCAGTCAAGTCAATGACTAGGAATCTCCCTGATCTAAAGAAAACTGGACGATAGATTGGAACGTGTAAACAGACTACTCAGCTCGATAAAACGGACAGTTCTCGCATACCACGAATCTGACACAATATATCGTAGCGCGTAACCGGGCCATTTTGGAGGACATTCTCATAAGATTCGCACGCAATGATCTCAAATATCTTGATGATATGCATGATTTAATGAAATGTTTAAGTTTAAGATATCATTGCGATATTTATTTTCTTGTTCATGCACTTAGGATACAATAAGTTGAAAAACAAAAAAAAAACAAATAAGAAACAAAACCAAAACCACAGCGCACCTCAAACAATTTGCGTGATTTCTCCAGGTGAGTACCAAGCCAACAAAAATTAGAAGATACATCTCCGAAGTTCTCAAATGTCTTGATGATATTTATGATTCAGTTAAGTCTTTAAGGCATTGTGGTACATGTATTTTCTTGTTCATGCACTTATGGCGCAGTCAAAACGGTACAACCAACACTCTTTGCGTTATTAATTTTCCACGTGAGTGTAATGCCAAGTAAAAGGAGATACTTATCTGATATGCTCAAATGTCTGAAGGGTATTAAATTTTATGATGCTGTGGTAATATGTTGTCGATGCACCTTAGATACAGTTAGTCAAAAACGGCGTAACTCAAACAATTTGCGTGATTATTTCTCTAGGTGAGTACGAAGCCAACAAAAAGGAGATACTTATCCGAAGTTCTCAAATGTATTGATGATATCTATGATTCAGTAAAGTCCTTAAGACATTGTGGTATATGTATTTTCTTGTTAATGCGCTAATGCCACGCTTAAAAACGGCGTAACTCTAACCATGTGCGTGATTCCTTCCCCAGGTGAGTACAAGGCCAACAACTGTGACGGACGTGCCCAGTGTATCCCATGCACAGTCCGCAACCCATCGTGCAGGGAGAGAACTGACGGCATGAACTCCTGGAAGGGGCGGGAGGGCTCGCCCTACTATGTCGTGTGTGCCACACAGAGGGTAGTGTACCACGGCATGTGTCCTCAGGACCATGGGGTTCAAGTCTTTGACCACGAGGCCAGAGTCTGTAAGAAGCTGGAGAGTGGACCGTGGTGATGAGGACGTTTCTGGAGGCTGTACCCTTCCTTCCCTCCCTTGTCCCCCCCCCCCCTGTACAGGGAGAGAGAGGCCGAGCTGAACGAACAACACGACACCCACACTTCATCTTTCTTTCTTCAAGGGCAGTTTCTTTTGTGATAAATCAAGATCCGGATGTTTATTTAATCTACTGAATTCAAAACTTGCAAATGCGATCATATTCTAGGTGGAAATTGTTTTGTTGTCTTTTGTTTTAACCCTTAATTGAAACTTTTACTGGTTAAAGTGTACATTAATTTCTCTTTTGTTCGATTCCCGTATACACTCGTTCACTTTGTAAAGACCGATTGAGAACAAAATATTGTCCAGGCGTTGTCCAGATAAACTTATAGAAAGGAAAGATATTAGATTCATGAGGTAGGACCTAGTCCTTCCCATGTCCCCGATTCTGAGGCTATGGAATTAAAACGTTTTGTTATTTCTTGCTGTATTAACCTGCCACCAAAAAAATCCAACAACGAAAAACGACAACCGTATCCCATCAGACATCTGTTTTGCCTACACATGAGCTCAGCCTTTAGGAATGCTTAAGCAGCTTCTGTCAATGATTTACTGATTTTGTTTCAAGCCCCCCCCCCCAAACCCCCTCTCCTCCGCATTTTTAATTCCGTAAAAAAAAAAAAAAAAGATTGTGAACAGAACTTGTAAAAATCTCTTGAAGACAACATGCAAAAGATTCATAAAGTATAGAGCTGTTGAGTTGATATCCGGAAAGTTCCCTTCAACGCCAGTTCCTTTCCAGAAGTTTCTTTGTTTGAGAATGTTTTTTCTGACCAAATGTACAACAAAAAACAAACAAATAAACAAACAAACTCACAAACAAACAAACAGACAAGAATCACCAGCTTTCACAACAAAACAACCAAAAACAACAGCAACGAAAAAAAAAAGGCTGGAGTGACAAAAGTTTAGGTTGAAGTCCGGGCTCTTTTGTTCAATTAAAACAAAGACATTTCTTTCGCCCAAATTTTTCTTCGCTAGACAGGTTAACTAACTGACGATTAATCTGAAATAAAAGATTCATAGTCGGCGTGATTTCTGCGTTCATTACTTTGCGTCAGAACCACTGCTTTCATTCCATCTGTTCTTGTCACGCCTGTATATTTTTCTCCTTTTTTAATTTGAAATGTTATATCGCCATGCCATTGAGATGTAAATACTCATTTCCACTTGTAATAAATTATGCTTGCTTCAGTTTTTTTCTTCCTGGCATATCACTCCTGTTGGTTTTTGTTGTTGTACGGTGTTCGAACCGAGTTCCTTCCTCTCCCCTGTAGGTGGTGGCGCCGGTAGTGTAGTGGTTGGGCGACCGGACTCGGCATCGCGAGATTGCAGGTTCGGGGGTTCGAGCCTCAGCTCAGTCCGACGTTGTGTCCTTGGGAAAGGCACTTTGCTCGGATTTCCCTCTTGGCTCGGTCCTTTCGAAATGGACGTTAAACATGGAGGTCCCGCCTCTTAAATAACCCAATATAATAGTGTTGATAGAGGCGTTAAACCCATACCAGGGGGGCTCTGGTGGCCTAGAGGTAAGGTGTTCCTCTTTCATGCAAAGGTCCAGGGTTCGAATCCGGGTAGTGAAGGAAAATTTTCTTCTTTAAAATTTTCTTCTTTCATATCCTTTCCTGCTCTCTAACAATGTTCTGTGTTCTGCTTTCGTCTCCACTTTCTGCCTCCACCCCCTCACCTCCTTTGCCCCCTCCTCTGAGCTCCCTGCTCTTTCTACCGCCTTTCTACTGCTACTCCTTGACTACTTCTTACTGCTGTCTTTCAGCCACATCCCTGATCATTTGGTAGGAAAGATCTACACATAGCCTTCTCGGACAAGGGCTAA